TGTTGCAGTTTCTAGTTCTGTGGAATCATTAATATGATCATTATTCTTCCAGAAACTAAGACCATAAAACAAGCAGAGCCTAAAGTCACAACTCTAAGAAGCAACAGTATGGCTAGCTGATTACTGAGAGTAGTAGTGAGGGGCCAGCAGGTGCAGACCAGTTACGTTGCTGGACTTCCACATGGCCAACCATGCTTCGAGTCCTGAGTTGGTGGCTTTAAACTCACATATGTGCATGTGTACTCAAGATCCCAGGAGGAGAAAGGAGGAGAAGGGATCGTGGCATGGCCATCCCTCTTGGGGGATGATTTTGCACTTTCCCTCTTTTTCTGTCTCTGTCTCTTTCTCTCTTAAGCCCTAAGGCAAAAACCTCTGGACAAAAAGAAAAGAAAGTAGTAGTGAGAGGATCCTCTCTTATCTCCATCTTGGTTCCTGGATTCATGTATTCACGTGATGCAAGAGCACCATATGTTTTACAGGCTGCTCTTTCAGAATCTGTACTTATTCTGTAGGACAGCACCCCAAGTTTGTAAACTTTTCACCTGTTGTTATAATAGCTGAGTCTTTTTTATTTTTCTTTGAGAGATATTTGCTATAGGGTGTGTATGCTTGCCTGAGAGAAAGACATAGATAGACAGAAGGCAAGAAATCACTCCCCCTGGGGGGATGGTCACACCTCAATCTCTTCTCCTTCATTCTCTGCAATCTCTTCTCTTCCTGGGACCTTGGGCACCCACATACATGTATCCAGTGTGAGTTTTAAGCAGCTAGGTTCGGGACTCAAGCCGTGGTCAACTATGTGAGACTGCTGGTCCCCAATAGCTGAGTCTTTAATAAACCGTGAGAATATCCTCTCAGGTATACTGCTTCAGGTGGATGGGTCAGTGAATTCCAAGGTTCTGAGCCCATTGCTACAATTCGTTTCTTGTATAGGAATTCTTTGATTAGAAGTCACACTGTAGGGACTACCATGTCAGTGAATAAAACAATACCATTAGTCCACAGTAGGTAGTACTGGCGGATGCTTTGTGGATGGGGAAGGCAAATCTAGAGTCTGTCTATTTCAGTGGAAACAAAACATTGTCTCTTCTGTAATGGAAGGGGTACAGTATTCTCACCTATCAGTGTACAGTAGGCATGGGCACATAAACACTCAATAATGCTCTAGCAGGGTTAATTTTTGGCTCTGCTGTTGGCAGGTAGAGCTCTGAGTGGTGGCTGTACACAAGTAGTCTTGATGAGGGGAAGTTATGTCATGGGAGATCCCTATCTCTGGGCATATCTGCCTTCTGGCAAAGTGAACATTGCCCTTTTGCCCATTGTGAGAATCTCTTTTCCGCATTATTATTTGGCCACCCTCTGAGTAGGGCTGTAGTGCTGTCGCGTCAACTTTCAGGTGGACATCATGTGTAATGTTGGCTTAAATTTTTTCTTAGTAACTGATCCTAGGGAGCTCCCTGCAGGGCCATTGACGTGGGTGTGTGAAGGAGCGCGATGATGTGGGAGTAGTTGCCATGGCAGTTGAGCCTCTTGCTTATGCAGTTTAATTATACCTTAGAACCTGACTGAGTCTGGTGTTTTTTATAATACATCTGTTACATAGTGCCATGACGTCATTCATACCCAAATTTATGGCATGGTGGGTCACATGACTCCAATTCCTGCTTTGGAGCTTAGGACTCGTGATACTTTGATGTCAAGTGTTCAATTTCTGCAAGGTTATAATAAGAAACTCAAAGTTACTCTTCAAGTGTTAAGAATTATCTGCAGTAGAGAGGATGAGTTTGACATAAGTTTCTAAGGGATTTTTACTAAGGCTTCCTAGAGGTGTCATATGACATTCCTGTGTGCCATAGTTATTAAAACAGTGATGTGGACTGGATTTGCTGGAATGTATGAACAAATAGCAAAGCAGTTTTATAGAGCCTGGGTCTGACAAACAACCCTCTCTCCCTATTGACTCTACTTACAACTTTAAAGCTTATCTCTTTTATCTCAACAGCCCCTAATTTATAAGTCAATTAAAACAACAACATACTCAGTGGGGTCTGTTTGTCCTTCACAAACCAAGAACCACACCTCTTTCTTAGTGGTAGATGTTGCAAGATGCAATAACTTATTCTCTACCTTGGCTGAACCCTGGAATATTCAACAAGGTAGCAGTACCTAGATGTTCACCTGGTTTCATCTCCTGCTTTTGGCTGTAGGAAGAAGACTCACAGTATATGTTTTTGGCAGGGAAACAAAGAATTACCAAGCAGATTTATTTTTCCCTTTTATCAAGAGGCTCTGTCTCAGGTATGGGCATTGGGTGGAAAGGATGATTCTCTATTCTTATGATTCAAGTCACAAAACCAGGAGATGTAGATCTCTTTTCTTGTGTATATTGAATAACATGATTATAGGCTACACACCTATTATTCTTAGTGACTTTTTGATGAATTAACCATTGCCACAAGCCCTGAGGGTTCAATGATTGGATCATTGGAAAAGTAATGATGCATTTTTGCATAGAAAAACATGGAAAAATATGTCATGACTTTTCTGATGACCCAACATTCTGAATGTTTCTTTAGCCTATAATCTACCTGGTCTGTGGTGGTATTCATTTCTCTCTTAGCTTGTCGCATTGGCATTTGATATCCTGAAGCTTAAGCATTGTATTATTGAGTCCACCATTCTTAGCACAACTTAGATTATAGAGGAAAATAAGTAAGAGGAGAAGTGTCGTCCTTGATGTCTCTATCTCTAGGATTGCCTCATCCCCATTGATTTTTAGGGAGGCCCTTTTGATGCTGGGATCTTCCACTCTAATCTCTGGCCTGCCCAGCACAGCCCTTACAGAACCTTTCAAGGTGGTAATGGTTTCTCTGCAGACATATTTCTCAAATCTGGTTAAGGGAGCCCTCCAGACCCTCTTGGAGGACATAGGAAGTGGGTGAAGAGTAACAAATGAGAAATTTACTCCAACTTTTCTATTTCCCCAATCTCTCCAATTTCTTCATAACACATCAAGAAAATTCCAGCACCACATTTTCGTTTTGTGCCAAACACTGTGATTATGGGACACCGCTCAGTTCAGTTACTTACATTCAGAGACTTGACTCTGGATCTGCTTCTGGGGAAAACCAAACGAAGACACCAAGTTCCACTGCAACGAGGTTATCGCTACTTCAAAACTTACAGGACCCATCAACCAGTTCCAGAATCTCACTAAAGTTGATTGCCTATAACCAATTTCAGATGCAAAATCTGTATCAGTCAGGACTGAGGGGAACAAACATCACATGACATGTTGTGGGTTTAAAATGATAAGGACACACAACTATGGCAAGAGCAAAGGTTATAGAACCCACCACCAAAAGTCAGGAAATCTGCGAATGAAGATCAGGAAACCATTACTAAAGAGCAAGACAAAAACAGCTGATGTAAAGGCTCTCCACAAAGCATGCTCCCTTCGGCTGCTTGCTAGAAGTGCTTTTGGACTCTCACAGCTCCCCCAAGTTCTGCTGCCAACACTTCTGGAAAATAATGGGTTTTCCTCTATCCTGCCCTCAGAATCTCACATGAGTGCCTGACATCAACAAGCTTTAAACATGGAAAAGGATTCTGAGAAATTTAGTTCCTGGATTCTCCTCTTCATCCAAGCAGTTCCTGGAAGAGGATGATGGTGTATTACAACATCTGGAACATAAAAGGCTTGCATGTGACTGTAGTTATTTTTGTTTTTATTCCAAGAACATCGTGAAGATGCTGACAGGTTTTAAGAAGGGATGTGATGTCGTATTTGCCTTTTTGAATCTTTGGCCACAGTACAGACCTTACAATAGAAAGAAAATCAGTAAAAAATACAGTTTTAGGTGGTGACTTGGTGGTTAAGGCACTGGACTTTCACATGGTTGATCACAGTTCCAGTCCTGAACTGGAGGCTTGAAAATCATGTTAGGCATTTGTGTGTGATGCCCAAAGTCCCCAAAGGAGAATGGAGGAGAAGGGATAGTGGCATGGCCTCTCCCCCCTGGGGGGCAGGTAGGTAACTTATCACTATCCCTCTCTGTCTCTCTTTGGCAAGTGCACATTTCCTATGGCAAAAACATAATAACCTCTGTGTGTGTGTGTGTGTGTGTGTGTGTGTGTGTGTAGTTTTCATTCTGAAAAATGATGATGGCCGTTTATTAGGATGCAGTATTGAAGATATAGAGAACTGGATGTGGTGAAGAGTTATCAGGACATAGGAGGAACTGGACATGACGGTGGACTGGGTTGGGGAGATGCAGATGATGAAATTATGACGGTTCCTGGTTTTTTGCTGTCCTTTATTAAGGAAGCAATACTAAGGTGGTCAGTTTGGGGGAAGGTGGCTAGATCAGAGGTAGTTCATGACTGCGGCTTAAGAAATGCTGTTTGTGAGGTGCTTTCAAAGTGCCATGGGAGGCTCCCTAACCAGAGCACACTAGGCCCCACTGCACACGTCAGGAAGGCTGCTGCGGTGCTGGTGCCTCCTGGCAGATGCCCATTGCTGAGAACCACAGAGGTAGCACCATCGAACAACTGCTTCCGTTTTCAGGGTTAACTTCTCAGGCCATGGAAGGGCCTCTTTGTACTGGTTTCTAGGAGTAGTAGCTTCCAAGAACTCCTATTTATTTATTTATTTGTTTATTTTTTAGGTCTTTGTCATAGGGTGTGTGCACTTGCTGGAGGGAGACAGAGAGAGCCAGTGAGAGGAAAAGTGAGAAATTACCCCTTTGCAGGAGGGCTATGCCATAATCCTTTTTCCTCCTTTCTCTTTCTAGGTTTTGGACATGCGCAGGCACCCAGCATGATCTTCAAACTGCCAGGTCTGGGACTTGAACCATGGTCAGCTATGTGGGAGTCTAGTGCTTTAATCACCATGCCACCTTTAATCACCTCACCCCACCCAGGGCTATTTAAAAAAGGTAGATTGGTGGAAATTCTTCTCAGTTATTTTATATATTCCCAATGATTTGCTTCCTTCATAGGAGTTTGCATCATTGTTGGATAATCGTCCGTGTTAGTCCTGCAGCCACTACTGTGAAGCATCTGCAAAGGGCCTTGCTGAGGAAGCTGTTCATACCAGGAAGAGCCTCCTCACACCATTCAAGTTGAAGTAAGAAGTAGGTGTATAGACGGTCATTTAAGGTCCTACAGCCCTGCTCTTTTCTCTTTATTCCCATTTATTTATTTATTGAGAGAGAGAGAGACAGAGAGGAGGAGGAGGAGGTTACTCCAACAGGGATCTCATGCGGCAATCTACCCCGTCTCACCAGCCCAGATCATAGTCACGTATGTGCACCTGAGTGCTCAGGGGGATCCTGGGGTCCATACCCAGGCCTTTCCCATGTAGGTTCAGCTGTGTTACCACTCTGCCATCTCCTGGTTACAACTCTGCTATTCTTTCTGCTCTTTTATTTTATTCTCCAAAGTAGGCGGATTCATGTGAGCTGCCCAGGGACTGCAATGATGGACTTTCTTTTTCTTCTGTCATTACTAGTCTTAGGAAACAAGGAACCTGGCAAATACATACATCGCTAAGCCTTCCAAGGACATGGCATAATCTTTTCTTTTTCGTTCTTTGGAGAGATTTTTGCTCTAGGGTGCATGGATGGCTGGAGAGACAGAGAGACAGAATGTAGGAATCACCCCCCAGTGGGAGGGCCATGCCACAATACCTTTTCTTCCTCTCAGGATTTTGGGCACACACACACACACACACACACACACGTGCCCAACATGAGTTCGAAGCCACCAGGTTGGGACTTGAACCACAGTCAGCTACATGAGAGTTCAGCATGTAATGGCTACCCATCTGCTGGTCCCATGCCTGATCTTTTCTAACCATAGGATGCTATGAATGCCTCAAAGTTTCTCACATGAAATATGTCAACTCCTAAAACAACTCTTAAATTATATAAAAGATTGTATCATTTGCAATTCTACTGCAATAAAGATTTGCCTTTTTCCCTCCACGAATTTACTTATTCAGTCAAAAAATACATATCAGTGTAGGCTTAGGTATATTTATGTTATACTCTGAGCCCAGTGATACACTATTTTATTGCACACATTACTTCAAGTTTTGGTCTTGGAAGATTTTTTGTTGTGTTCGTTGGTTCCTATGTCCCTATGAAGCCTCCATCCTCCTGGTTTTTAACTACTTCCTCTCTTGCTGGTACTATAAAATGTTTCAGGTTCATCTTGTAGTTTCTGTGTCCCAACCCTAGAATCGGCCATTTCTCTGCAGAACTTTGCTTCCTTTGGGTAGGGATGGCGTTAGAAGCCGAGATCTAAGCACTGGTACCACTCTCCTTGTCTGTGGTGCCTCCTTCAGCATTGACTCGCAGTGCAGTTCTGCTTTTGATCAATTCAATCAGCTTTTGTATATCTTGGGAGCCCTCGCCTTGGCCTCGCATAGCTTTCTCATGAGCACACACTGATCAATATTTTCTGAAGGCCACGAAGAACTCTCGGCAGTCCTCTGGGGCTCACATGTGCCCCTTCTCGCTGTGCAGCCCCTGTTCTCCATGTAACTGTCTCTGTTCTGTTATCTGCCCCACAGACTCCAGCTGCACCGGCCTTGTCGAATCCTCAAATTTGTTTGCTCAGGTCCGAGACCACCATTATTACTAAGAAAGAGGAAACTTCAGTAAATTAAATGATTAACTTAATAAGCTAAGAAAGAAAATTAAGGTAATCACAATCACTGATCAAAAGTTTTGAATATGTGAAATTATAGAATTCAAAAATAGAAAAAAAGTGAATTTGTAAATAAACAAAAATGCTTGTCCTTGAAACCATACAGTGAAAAAAATCTTCTACAAAAACAAACTTTAAATACTCTAATGAGGAAAGGGGGAAAAAAAAGAAATATAATTATCTTTTACAGGATTTAAATATAAGTGTGAATGTAAGAAAATATTATATTGAAGTCAGTGCTGACAAATTTGAAAAGATGAGGATCTTTAGTCATAAATGAAGATTTTTTCCTACAAAATGTGATCTGTGATCAATTCTTTTTTCCATTCAAAAATAGAAGCTTATTAATTTTTTTATAGAGATTTTTGCTATAGGGCATGTTTGCGCTCCAGAGAGATAAAGAAATAGAAAGCAAGAAATCACCCTATAGGGGTGATGGCCACTCTGCAATCCCTTCTCTTCCATTCTCCTCTCGGGATTTTAGTCATGCATCCCCCACACGCCTGGCATAAGTTTTAAGCCACCAGGTCTGGAACTCCAAACATGGTCGACTAAGAGGGAGTCCAGTGACCTAACCATTATGTCATCTGATGGTTGCAAAGCTTATTGTTTTTGAAAAAGGTGATTCATATCCCAATAGGAGTCAAAAGAAATATTTAGAAATCCAAACCATAATTGAAAGACATAATCAAGTACTGGGACCAGCAGTTAGCGTAATGGCTATGTCACTGAACTCCCATGTAGTTGATCGCGGTTCGAGTCCCGGACCCAGTGGCTTAAACTCAGTCTGGGCGCTTGTGCGTGTGTGCCCAAGATCCCAAGAGGAGAATGGAGTAGAAGGGATTGTGGCATGGCCATCCCCTCTTGGGGGTGATTTTTCGCTTTCTATCTCTCTGTCTCTCTCTGTCTTTGTCTCTCTGTCTCTCTCTGTCTGTCTGGCGGCAAACGGCACCAAAAAAAAAAAACCCCCCAAAAAAAAAAAAAAAAAGAAAGAAAAAAAAACCATAATCAAGTACTGAATATTTGTGCCCTAAAGATTCATGTTGCAATAAATCCTAACCCCAGTATAAAACCATGGGGTCGTTGGGCAAGAGTTAGATCATTAGAACAGAACCTTCATTGAACATCTTAGCACTCTTATAAATAACACAGAGTTCTCATGCCCTCTTTGCACTATGTAAATGTATAAAGAGTTATCAGTCTGCAACTTAGAATAGAGTCTACACCAGGACTGAGCCATACTGGTGCCCTGATCTCAGCCTTCCAGCATCCAGAACTCTGAGAAATACATTTCTATTGCTGATAAGCCATTCAGTCTATGGCATTTCACTGTAGCAGCCTGGACTAAGACACTATCTAAGAGAGAGGGCAAAAGTAGCAACCCACATAGAAGACAAAGGGAATAAGAGATTAAAAAAGAGGACAAATTCAGCCATTCAGAATAAAAACGACAAAATTACCTTCAAAAGTAATTCTTGCTTTTCCATTCTGGACCACGTTGGGTCTACTTGTTGGTCTCTGCGATCTGAAAGTTGACAACTTCTTTGTGTCCGGGAGGCTGCTCCCAGCGATGCTGCAATCGTCACCATGCCACAAAACGAATATATTGAATTACATCATAAACGCTATGGGTACCGTTTGGATTACCATGAGAAAAAGAGAAAGAAGGAAAGTCAGGAGGCTCATGAACGTTCAAAGAAGGCAAAAATATGATTAAACAAAAACGGAAAGAGAAAGCGGGAAAATGGGAAGTCCCTCTACCCAAAGTTCGAGCCCAGGGAGAAACAGAAGTGTTAAAAGTTATTCGAACAGGAAAGAGAAAGAAGAAGGCATGGAAGAGGATGGTTACAAAAGTTTGCTTTGTTGGAGATGGCTTTACTAGAAAACCACCTAAATATGAAAGATTCATTAGGCCAATGGGCTTACGTTTCAAGAAGGCCCATGTAACACATCCTGAACTGAAAGCCACCTTTTGCCTGCCAATACGCGGTGTAAAGAAGAATCCTTCATCCCCACTATATACAACTTGGGGTGTTATCACCAAAGGTACTGTCATTGAGGTGAATGTGAGTGAGCTGGGCCTTGTGACACAAGGAGGCAAGGTTATTTGGGGGAAATATGCCCAAGTTACCAACAATCCTGAAAATGATGGATGTATAAATGCTGTCCTACTGGTCTGATAGCAGTTGCATACAAATAACTCCTTGTAATTTTGAAGATGATACACCATCTGGAAAACCATCATGACTGATGTTTCTGAATATAGCTGGTCTTACATGTCAGCAGTCATCAAAAGATTATTTATTAAATTGTACAAAAACATTAAAGTGGCCTGGTTTTACAAATAAAAAAAAAGTAATTCATGTATTTATTTTAACTTTATTTAAAGTACTAACTGAATTTTAATCCTACTGGGACTTTGACAGGTAAGTCTGCAATACATCAGGAAGAATAGTTCTGTAAGGATAGCAGGATAATATTTAAAAAAGAAAAACAAGTACATTATTTTCTATGGGAGAGAAAATGAAAGCCAAGACAAGCTGAATAGGCTCCCCAGTCATTTGTCTTGCAATTGGTACGGTCAAGTTGGAAACCAGGACTTTATTTATTTATTTATTTTACCTCCAAATCTGCAGCTTTCTCTTCGTGCAGTGTATACAAATGTAGTGGTTGCAGTGATAGCTCCTAAATCATCTTTCAGGATTGCGCCACTAGTTATAGGGAGTGTCAGACTAAGTTTCTTCACAAAAGCTGTCCCCCTTACCCAAGCGCAGCTCATGACCATGGCTGGTTAATGTGGGGTGCAGAGACCTGGCCTCTTGCTTGAATCTTGGACAGTTATGAAGGGTCATCCTAACTGGAGGACATCCTGTGGGAAATGCATTATATTCAACTCCATCTTCTGCCTAACTCTTCTTTTCCTACACTTTTATAGGTGTTATTACTGCAAG